TTTTTCGTTGATATCAAACGTGATATTTTTTTACCACTGTCAACATTCACAAGTTCGTCGATTTTCTCGAGGACATGCGGATGAATTTCGCAGTAATTCACGTTCTCCGCTTCGGAATCAGATTCCCTCTCACTCTTCGATTTCATAAAACGCTTCAAAGGATTATGAAAGGTGGGCAACTTCGATCTAATCTGTGCATTGTGTTCATTAGACGATGTTTCCTCCTGAAGGTAAAATACATATTTCGCCCCTCCTCCATCATGTTGCAAAGCCGATTAAATTGTTCAATTAATATTTTATTAATCGACTTATATAATTGTCTGGTCACTCAAGATACATTTTATTTTGTCACTGGACATTTATGAAGTCAAAGTTTCCACAATGCGATTGTACACGGAAACAATGATTTTATTGAAGTATCTTAAATTTAGCTACACGAAAGGAAATGTTATGGTTGCCACAACCGAGAATAATTAATGATATTTTTCGTTCATCGACATAATTTGATTATAAAAACTATAGTACAGTTATAACAATCGCACTACAGTAATAAATAAAAAACTACAGTTCTTATAACTAAATTCTATTGATGGGTGGAAAATATCATTAATTATTTTCAATTGTGGCAACCATAACATTTTTTCCATGTAGCTAAATTATAGATATAGATTTGAAAATTATTTTCTTCAGCAAAATCATTCTATATAAGTATGGAAAACTTGTATTATGTAACAGAATATGAAAAAAACAGAGATAAAAAAATTAAGTCAGTATGTAGGATGTTCTAAGATTCATATCTCTCTCCATTAATTAACTATTTAATTAATAAAGTAAATTCTTCAAATATAATTAGACCTTTATCTATAAAACTTCCAGGAAGTCAGCTTTATATATATTTACACTTATTTTAAAAGTGCAATAGGTACCGCATAATACAAGTATTACATGTCAAATGTTTAATGGGATATGAGAGACAAAAAATAATAGATAACTTATTCTTGAACTATATTGCACTATATTCTATTGAATTATATTGAACTATATTCTTGAACTATATTGCAATATAAATCGCTTCATATCCCCCTTGTAGGCACATAATATTATATTAATATTATATTAATATTTAAGCATCTTAGAATACTAAATATACATTTAATATTCTAAAGATATGCTTAAAATATTAAATAATATTATGTGCCTACAAGGATATAATAACAACCGAATCTGTTGATGAAATGATTGAAAATAGAACTGTTGTTTAGACCAGCAAAATATCTGGATTCTTCTCTTCAAACATGTATTATCTTTCAACTTCCTTCTGTCGAAACCTTAAATATTATATTCTCACCTTCTGTTTCATTACGGAGAATAGAGATTTTTTATCGGAATGATTAACGGATGTATGATCCACGGGATCTTGTCGTTCCGGGGTATCCGAACTCTTCGAGGCTTCCCTATTGATAGTATCACTCATATCTGAATCACATCATCGATAAAACCTCTTTTATCACAATCCTACTTATCAATTTGAACGTCGCATATTTCGATATCGACCATTGCGTCTGGTCGGTTGGCTTTTGTTCCTCATCATTAATGCTGTTAATACAGATACTTTAAACGTTCAATATACAATAGAATAATTAGAATAACGAGACTTAAATAGTAGATTTATAGAAAATAGATATCTTTTTCGAGTGCATAATTTGCTATGGCAAATTAAGCTGGATAATAACAATATTTTATTATTGGATAATAATATTTTGTATGTAACATCTTATATATTTTTTCCACGTTTCTCAACGCAATAGTTTCAAACGAAAAAGAAACTCACTGTCATAAAATAGAATACTAGGAATATTTTAATACTGATAAGAAATTACAATATAAATAAATTTAAAAAATCTATTAATTAAAGTCTTTATAAATAATTTAAACAAATTGCAATATAAAAGCGAATCATTTACATTTATATTTATTATGTAAATTAAGTTTCTACGTATTTCAACGTGATAATTTGTAATGAAAGAGAAACTTGATATGGCAATTGATATGGCAATTGATATGGAAAATTAGAATATCTATAAGAATATATTTATCAATAAGAAACTGAATACAAAGAAATTGATAAACGCCTAATTCAAGTTTTTACAAATAACAAAAACAAATATTCTAAAGCCCATTTATGAGCTATCGCACGCGTGACTATCATGTAAATGTAATTACAGCCGTCGAATTCATGTTTATACAGATTTCTTATTATGTTTTCCTTTACAAAGAGCGTTCTCGGAGTATTACCGATTCTCTTTAGTAAACATAACGATCGATACCAAAACCACTAAGAAAACTTGGTCGCTTTCAAATCTCGAGCAAGGAAGTTGAAAATATTGAATTTTTCGGCATCGGGAATCGAGTCAAATGAAACTTCGCAATGCAAAACTCGACGCAGAATCGAGGAACGAGCGATTGGGACTTGAATGAAAATAAAATCAGGATTATAACACAATCATTAAGTAGTTTGCACTCAGATATTATGTTAAAAATTCAACAAAATTATAAGAGTGGACCGTTTTTAACACAAACATAAAACAATAAGTTAGAAACAAGTCACAAAATAAATCAGTTAAATAAGAGAAGTTCACTTATGGTCAAAGTCAGATGTTGGAATAAAAAATAGTGAAAAAATATTCATAAAAAGAGAAAATATTTTTTAAAAAAACTTTATTTTTAAAAAATAAATATTATCCAGCGAGAAATAAGTCATCGAATTGATGTCGAATCGATATAAATACGATGATTTCAATATTAATTTGACATCAACATTAATTCGACGTTTAATTGACGATCATTTCTTGTTGAATAATTAACAATTTATTCATAAAGAATAAAATAGACTGTATGTTTCTTAAAATGACATATAAAAAAAAATGTGTATTAATTATATAAAATATATCATCTGAAAGATAAGCGAAAATAAAAAAATTGTATTGTTTGAATGCTCAAAAAGTATTTGTACAAATAAGAAATTTAGTTTTTAAAATCAAGAATACATGTGAAGCGTTTGTTTATGTTAGAATAGAATGTATTTATTGTATAAAATTGTTAATTAATGTTTATTTTCTACAAATAAGACTCTTTTTATAAAAAATTTCCTTCCTAACGAATACCTTTCTCACTGTGTGTGTGTGTGTGTGTGTGTATATATATATATATATATATGTATCTATTTAAATAAATTTATGTCAGATATATAACTACACGCCGCTTATTTAAATACATATAGATATATTGTTCCAACACGTCCAATTTTGACCGTAAGTTTGACAAGATATCTTTTACTGTGTGATACATGAATGTTATGAGACTATATTCTTTTACGCGAACCGTTGAGTTGCAAGTCGAAGTTATCGAATCTCGATAATGATAGAATCGATCAAGTTTAGGGTTTTACCTGATAAACGTAAGGTGTGACGCAGGGTACGTAGAATTCTCTACTCATAATAGACGAGTCGCCTGCGGGCGGCGATGAAGTCCAGCTGACGGGTCGTCCTTCGGCAAGTGTCAAAACGTCGGTGGCGCCATCTTGGTCTCGCCCGGATCGGAGCGAGTCGTCGAACTGTCACGAGCAGGCAGGATCACCGAATCCTAGTGGCCGCCGCGTAGGACATCCCTCGTCTGCTTTTTCGGGGTTCATGCACGTGTCGTGGCCGGATACACGTACTCGCCGTGTCAACCCGTCACGTTGCGTCGCGTTGCGTCACGTTATATCGCGTCACGTCGCGACGTTTAGGTCGTTCGCGTCAGCGTCGTCATTGACGGGTATGCGACAAAGACGATGACGACAAAGACATCGACCGTCGGGATTCCTTGCCTCGACGCGCGCGACTCACCAAAGCACACTCGGGATACACACTGCATAAGTAATCACCTTAATGATGTCGCCGGGTTCGTCGTCCCGACTCGATCATGGCGCACTCCTCAGCTCGACTGTTCCCGCAGGAAAATGTATAACCTAATCGCTCGGACGACGGCGTTTCCAATGGTGGACACACATCTGTTTGTGAAAACGCGGGTGGCAGAACGATAAACACTCACGCTCGCCGATCACTACGCCATTTTTATTTGCTCGCACGACGCTCGCGGTCTCTCTTGCGCGTGCTCACGATAGACAACCTCCGTACGCGTTCGCTGACAAGTGCCGACTGGACTGGCTGGTCGCGGATCACGAGAGCCGATTGAATCCGACGCGATCCGATGGCTGCCGAAGCGCGGCGAGTTACTGCGGTGGCGCCACCAACTTCATGTCGGTCGACGTCGGATACGACTCCGGTTTTCAGATTTTCACTCTGTCGATAAGGCGAACGCTTGCACAAACAAGAAAGGAAAACAATGAATAGCTTTCCATTTAATGATACAAAAGGCAACACGAATGTCTTTTTATCTCTCTTGGGATTCCTGAAATAGCGAAGACAGAACGATACTCATGTCGACTTGTGTTATCAAATGGAAAACATTCAATGTGTGTTTCTATGGATTTCATACACACTTTCACTGTCGTTTCGTGAATAAATTTTCGAAGAAAATTATTTCGTTTCGCATGTGATAAATTAAATTAATTTATTTAGAAGGCATTTTTGACCATCTCAAGATCTTTACTTTTCTCTATTACGTTGAAAATCTTAAAAAAGATAATATTATTATAATATGTTATATATAATATTATATATAATAATTTAGTAATGATAAAAAAATAACATATTTTTCGTTTAATCACAATATTGTCAGTTTCATTGTCGTTTAATCGATACTGATACTTTTCATAAATATAAATAAATTTTCAAAGAAAATTTTTTTTATTTCCTACATGATAAATTTAATAAATTCATTTTAATTAAAAAAAAAAAAACAATTTCGAACCGTCTCAAGGTCTTTACTTTTCTTTGTTATGTTAATGCTATAAGGATTTCGAAAAAAATAATAATCTAGTAACACAAGATTCAACAAGTAAAATAAATGGATCAAGATTTTAAAATGCAAATCGAACTTTTCCTCGGCAATTTTTATTACATGTAATCTTACATTGTTTTGAATCGTTATTATTTCAGTTTGAATTAATAATATTACTTCCTCTTTCAAATATTCGAGAGATGTAAACGTTGCTATTTAAATTACTGGAATGAGTGAAATTTAGAGAGAGAGAAACATATGTTTTAGTAGACAAAGTAACACTGTAATGATAAATAAAATAAAATTGTGTAGTAAATTCCTTTACTTGCCCTTCGTCAGTAGATGTAAACTATATAATTTATCATATTATATTAAATAATCTTACAGTTACAAAGCTGCTTTTTCTATTTAACACAGCCAATGGCCATTGTTCGGTGAACAAAGCAATGAACGGCTCAGTGATTCTTTAATATAATTTGTTCTTGCTTTTAATTTTTTATTGAATTTAACTCTTACAAAATGGCAATATAAAAAGACAGTAACTAATTGCTTATTTTAAGTATAAAAGGCACTGCATGTTGCTCAGTATTTTTGATCTAAATAAGTAATTATTATCTTTTAATAATAAATTGATTATTACATTTCTATGTAAGGGAAGTGTAAAATTTACTTGTAATATAAAATCACTGAACGCTCATTTTGCTAAATGTAGTCGATGTTAATATGATATGTAATTTTTTCGAGTTGAGACATTGAAATTTAATCAAATCAACAAATAAGTACACATAGCTCTACATGCAGGCAGTAGTCCAATTGGAATCCGCAGCGGGGTTCTTGTAAGGAATTATCCGAGTTTTCGCGTGGATTCTCGTGCAGCAGGTAGGCTTGCCACAAGGCATGCATATCGCGTCAGAACCACGCGGTCGCGGTGGTTGTTTGGACGAGGGATGTTTTCGCTTCCTTTCGGATTTGATAACGATATTCCGCGGCATTAGGATCTCGTTCCAAGGAATCTCAACATCATCGGTCGCACAGGTTCGTTCTTCCCACGACGGTCGTATTTCCACCGGCTTCTCCAGCACCAGGTCGGCCCAGGGTATCTCCACCGAGGAGTCGCAAATCTCCGGCTCGTCCAACGTTCTTCGCAGAGTTTCCGTGATGAGCAGGTCCTTCCACGGCAATATCATGGTTTCACTGGAGTCTCGCTTCTCGATGATCTTTGTCTGACTCTCGTCCGATTCCTGATCGGCCTTGACAGCCATCGCGTCGGGACGAATCCTCATCGCCGATCGCAGGGCGATATCCCTCCAGGGTAGCTCGATTTTGGAGTCGCATAGCACATACCCGTCCAAGAACTCACGGTGAAGCGATTGCATGTAGGGCTCGTGCCAGATCTCTTCGTCCGTATTGTATACGAAGATCTGCCTCTTCCTCTTGCAACGGTCTCTCGGTTTTTTCTTCTGATGCGCGTATATTTTCTTCTTCTGGCACGCGCACAATTGTTCGAGTTTGCTGCGTTCTGCCGTGACCGGCATGATTGCGACGCGTTCTCGACGCGGTGGTTCTTGTATTTGTTGATTTATTTCTTTTTACTTTTCCAATCCCATTTTTGTGATAATGAAAGGAACGATCGACGTGAACGTCAACGCGAACAACTTCGATTAATTGTTTATATATTAATCTATCTAGTTTTTTTGTAATTTCTTTTCATAGAGTGGACTTGTGTTTGAAGATTAAAAAAAAATTATATTACATGCATTTTATTAAATTATTTCACTTTTATTGTTTGATTTTATCATTTATTTTGTATTCTCAAATTTCTTGTATTCTCATCTTTCACCAGCAATTTTTTTTATTATGAAATTTTTTAGATGAATTTAAATTTGTAAAAAAAAATAATGAAATACAATATAAATGTAAAGAAAGTATATTCAAGCGGATCTTGATGACTAATGAATTTCTACAATTTCCAGTTCAAGCAACGGCCGATTATTTATGAAGTTCACAATTCTAGATTGAGGCTGGAGTATGTAATTTTGCAAGTTAAATTGATGAGCAATTTAATATTATTGATACTAATCTGCATCTTTAAAACGCTGCAAAAAATTTAAAGTAAAATGCAATTCAGATTCTATGATAATAAAAACTCATTAAGTCTTTTATGAATATGTAAAAATTTTTTTCAGCATTCTATATACAGTATATCCGGAACAATATAAAAATCTGCATCAAAGTTCTAGATTGTAGACGAGGATGAAAATTTTACATTGCCGACGGAGAGAGTTATTGGATTATATAAATAATGTCTACATATAGATTATGAATGATCAAAATAATTGCTTATAGATAATTGCGCCTATGATTATGTAATTCGTTTTGGATCGTGGTAACATTACATCTACGATGGTTATTATATAATTATACATATATAAATTTCGAATGACAGATCAATTTCTGTGATGAATATTCACCGTGTTTCGTTATACATCATACTATAGATTTATCGAGAAGTCTGAAGTGCGTCATTATCTCGAAGCTGAGCTACCTGCGAGATATTATATTATCTCGTTTCATGTCTCAATAGCATATATGAGGAAAATACTAAACGTTCCTCGATACGTATTATAGATTCATCAGAATTGTTCAATTATTCCCTAAATTTTTATTATGTTTTCTATAGAATAATTGATTGATCGGAATTTGTTCCTAATTCCGTTCCGTAATACGTAGTCATTTTTTCTAGAATTTTTATTTCGTTGAGAAAATCGATTGGAATCATAACTAAAAGAACCAATACACGCGACACACGTTGTGTTGCCTCGTGTAATCATGCGCGCATGTTTATTGGACTCGTCAACATAAAACATATATATTAGATCTCTGGTTCGAAAAGAAGGGTTCTTGCTGATGTTTACAATTGTTGTCTTCTCGCGCAACATATCTTCGTCATATTTCTCATCAAAAAACATGACCATATCTTTCAAGCATGCTCGCGAGCATGAGTAATCTATTCACCACAATGACAAGCATTAAGCGGGCAAGGTCATTTCTCTGTCTAGTTGTTGCGAAATATCTTGAATGTTTAAACAAGCTGTTGAAAAATAGAGGAAAAGAATTTTATTCATACTTTTTATAAATCCGTTCTCTCTCTCCTCTCTACATCATTCAATCCCGAGGGATCGGTTTCGAATCTTGACCTTTAATTTCGACGTAGAGCGTACATCATATACATACGAGAACGACTAACGACACAATGCGCGTGGAACGCAGCGTGTACCGGGTCGAACTCGTCAAACATCGAACGTGGTCGAACGGAACGACCGAACGGCAAACGGAACCCGGAGGTCGGGTCGTCGTCGTGCCGCGTCATCTGTCGGCGGTGGCTCGTGTGCAGTGGGAATCCGCTGATTGCCGACAAAAGGAAATTCAACGGTGGCCCGGTTGGAAGATCGAAAGACCGCGTCTGCGAAGCGTTCCCCGGCCGTGGCGAAAAAGCAGCGCGATAAAAATACGAAACTGCGCCGTATCTGCCCGTGAAGATCTCGCTGCGCGGACACCTCCCGTGTAGAAATACGTGACGCGTCGTGTGTTCCGACCATTCCGACGGTGCGAATCGCGACAGCGCGCTTGACCAGCGCAGTCGGCCTACGTTTAGAAGGCAGCCATCTTGCAATCCCTAATCAAAGATCCACGGCAAGCGCGTATCGCTGTCTGGTTTTGCGGCCAGTTAATATCAACACACAGTTCATCAAATGGCTTTAAAGCGAATTAATAAGGTACGTGGAGGCTGGTCGGCGTTCGTGCTGCGTGGCCACGCGTACGGCCGGGCGTTGTCGTCCTGTGTCGTGCTCCAAGCCCGGCCGTACGCCCCTTAACGATTTCTCCGCTCTCTCTCTCTCCCTCGTCGAGCTAGTGCGAAAGGCAGGATGTTTGAGCGTTGGAAGAATCACGCCAGACCATCTGGTCTCGTCGCATCTTGTCTCGTCTCGTCTCGTCTCGGCGGCAACTTCGCCGTCGACGACGACGACGACGACGACGACGACGACGACGACGACGACGACGACGACGACGACGACGACGACGATGACGACGACGACGACGACGACGACGACGATGACGACCCCGACGATCGTGCTTCGCCGCGCGGAGATGGCGCCGTGCCGTGTCGTGCCGTGCCGTGCGCATCTAGGACCCGCGGGAATTCCTCGACGCCCCTACCCATCATCCAGGGTGCTCGCCTCGCACTCGTCACTCCTCGGTGACAGTGAGAACCCGGATGGATTTGCTCAATTTCGTGTGCTCCATGTACCGCGAGGTCTCCGCGGAAGTAACACGCGATCCGCACCATATCCCCACGCCGGCTCGTACATTCTTCTCCCGATTTCTTCTTCGGTGCTCTTCGCTGGTCTTTTGTGCCTTTTACACTGTTTTGCATCATGCAGATATCTCGTGGTAACTAGCAAGATACTTTTTTCAATGGCCTGCTGTGAAAGCCTTCAGATACATAAAGTGAATTATTTAATATGATGCAGCTCTATGTTCTATGAGTGCCAATAATGTTTGATTTGTCGTTTGTATAGCGATATAGAATAGTGTTTGACATGGAGCAACTGGAGAGCTCGATTTATACAAGCAAGGCTATAAAGCCCAGCGAAAAGCTACTTACACTTTTATTTTGTCTTGATCATTTATGATAGTGTGATATTAATAACAATTGTAGGGTTGTGGAATACTTGAACAATATAATATACTGTAATTAGTCTTAATAAAAGTCTGATCTTTGTTATAAAGATACTGTAAATAAGATTGCAGGGCAACAACTTTGTCTTGGGAATTCTCATTATTATACAGCGATATCTTGTTCAATTACTGTATATGTATATGAATCTAAAAGGTTCTATTGCCAAGAAGATGTTGAATTATGTATATATGTTTATAAATATCAAAGTTGATTATAGAATAATGGTATGATGTATAATTCGAATCGTTGCAGTAGAGTATACTGAAAAGCAACAAATAGGACGTATTTATTTTAAATATAAATCTTCATTCTAATTAAAATATTCGTGATTAGGTGCCTTGTATTATATTATTTTTTATAAATCAGTAGATACTTCATGAAATTTTTATAACGCTATTATCTGTTTGTAATTTCAGGAACTCCAGGACCTTGGCAGAGATCCGCCGGCGCAATGC